CTAGTAGCGTGGCACTTGTTTCTAGTAGCGAACCTTGTTACTACTAGTAAGGCACCTGTTACTAGTAGCGTGGCACTTGTTTCTAGTAGCGAACCTTGTTACTATTTGTTGTGGATGTCAGGAGATCGAACATGTTTCTGCTAAACTTGGTTCAACCATTTCATAGGAGTTTTCTGGTGTCGATCAAAGTGGTGAGAATCCTGTTTATAGGTCTTCACCTTCGGACTCTGCCACTTTGTCCGGGAGGTCCAGAGCAGGTCGAAGAAAAGCACGTACTTTCCCTAGGCGATGTGGAACGTTTCCTGAGATGAGGACCTCAACCGCGACTTCAGTCATCGCCTTCATCCAAATGCAAAGTTGGAGCTAGACGAGCACCTGAATGACCTCATTCAGAGTGAAACCTGGCCATTGCTATTACGTTGGTTGCCACCGCTACTAGGTTCCTTTTGCTAGGTTGGAGGCCGTTCCTATTAGGTTCCTTTTGCTACTACTAACATGGGCATTACTAGTAACAAGAAGCGACTACGGGCTCCTGGCATCTCCTGGCCTTACTAGTAACAAGAAAAGCTCAGAGGGAAGCCTTCCAACCCCCAGAGTGAAGGGTTGCTGGCAACTGTCACCGTTTTTCCTCGCGAGGTCATCCTGGGCCACTCCCTTGTTGGCTATTAAGATAGTTCCGTTGCCTTTTGCGCCCAACCCCGGGACAACATGAGCAAGCTGATGCACGCAAAAATGCGCGCCTCCATTCGTGGTAATCCAACTTGCTGTGGAATTAAGGAATTGAACGAAGAAGCAGAGGACGATGTCTTCATTGCATCCTTTCACATGCCTGAAACACAGCCAGGCCGAAGATTGTGCCAGGTGTGCCAATAGGGGCATTAATAACATGTGCCAAGTGCAGATTGAAAGAGTCAAATCCATTCCCGGCCTTGTTGTATGCTTTTGGCATTTGTAAGCTACTAGGTTGGAGGCCATTGCTTCTACGTTCCTTTTTGCTACTAGGGTGGAGGCCATCACAAGAGTTGGACAATTTCAGGCAGTGCGCCGCAGGCTGAAGAATCTCCTGCAGGCTCTGCGGGGCCAGTTCACATGTTTCTGGGTTCAATTCTGCTTGCGGATAAGAGCACTTGTGGATGCACGAAGATCCTACGATGCCAGTAAACCCATAAATAGCCAAACAATTTCCGTAGACTGTTAGATGCCAATAGTGATGCTACGTGCAGACTCGCTTAATGTCCGTCACCAGGTCAGACCCTGCCTCGAGGTGATCAACAAGGCAGCCATGAACCCGTGGATGTTGATACCAAAAATCAGGAATGATGTGGTTGGAGGCCATCGCAAGTAGGTTCCTTTTCCTACTAGGTTGGAGGCCATCGCAATTAGGTTGGAGGCCATCGCTACGAATTGCTACTAGGGTGGATGCCATCGCTACTGGGTGGATGCCATTGCTTCTAGGTTGGAGGCCATTGCGTCTAGGTTGGATGCCATTGCTTCTAGGTTGGAGGTTATTGCTAGCAGGTTGGAGGCTATCGCTACTAGGTTGGAGGCCATTGCTTCTAGGTTCCTTTTGCTATTAGGTTGGAGTAATGCATAACATTCCACAGGGAATTCTGCTTCACACCGTAAGAAGTAAGAACATCTGACTCAAGAAGAAGAAGAAGAAGAAAAAGGTGAAGAAGAAGGTACCTTTGCTCCTCCTTGGTTTCTGTACGGTTGTGAGGTGATGTCAACATGGCAGGCTGGATGGAGATGCTTCGCAACTCAGCGTTGGGTGTTGTTTTGTGTTCTGTGTTCTCACACCGGTTGTTCTTTCCGTGCCAAGTGCAATTGGCCCGTGGTGCAGGCGCTGCTCCTGAGCTCGTGCCTCAAGGCAACGTTGGTCGTTCTTCCGCTTTGATTTGTGCTTTTCGCATATTGAACAGAAACAACAAACACCACTTCGAACACTTGAAGTTTATTGTAGCTTCAGTTCTGTTTGCGATGCTGACGGTCAGGCACGGCTACAGAGCCAGCTGCGGAAGGTGCGAAATCCAGGAAACGAGCTGACCGGGAAACGGCGCGGTTCAACCGAGTGAGTCATTCATCCAAATGTCTTTTCACTGACTGCACGCCTTGTGAAAACGGACCTGGATAGCTACCGGACACTTGAGGTTCCAGACACTGACCAAACATGCCACCTTTTGCGCATGGCTCAAGAAAAGAGCTTTTTCACGTGCTGCCAGTGTTGGGACTCGTTTCCACACTGGTAGCGGAGCTACCGAAGCTCCAGGGGATCCAGGTCCCACTTTTTCCTGCACGGCCTTTCGAGGCCACGTCTTCGCTCGCCGTGTGGATCATGGCGCTGCTTGACACTTTCCGCTACATCAACTTCATCAAGGAGGAGGAGAACAGCAACAGCACAGAAGGCAAGTTCGGTGGCAGCATACCCCGGTACAACGGGGAGCCCACTCGCCTTGGCGAGCACACCTGGCGAGTCAGAGCCACAATGGCCCGGGAAGCTGCGATGGACGAGAACGAAGTCAAGAAACAAGGGCCATTGGGCCTTAGGCTCATCGAGGGCTTGACCGGACCCGCACTGAGAGTTGTCCAGCAGACGTCTTACACCGTGCTGTAGAGCAAGGAGGGCATCGACCGCCTCTTGGAGAACCTGGCCACGTCCTTGAAGCCACAACGTGCTCAGGAGGCAAGGGAGCTCTACGCCGCTGGAGCTCGTGAAGGCGGTATCCTCAGCCGCCAAGCGACAGAGCCGATGTCGACCTACTTGGTGCGTCGTCAGGCTTGGTATCAGGACTTCACCGACCTCGACAAGGAGCTCAAGTTGCCGGAGGTGATTCTTGCGGAGCGAACCCTGGTCAATGCAGGCCTGACGGAACAGCAGGTTTTGCTTGTGAGATCGGCCTTGGGTGGCAAGATCACCATGGATGGCGTTCATGGTGAGCTCATTGCTCAACACTCTCGGTTGCGCGAGAGGGAGCATCGGGGCCGAGGATTTGGCTATGAGAAGACAAAGGGAAACTGCCTGGCGACATCGAGGAAAAGGAGGCGGACATGGACATGGAGTTGGCCATTTCTTTGAGGAGCACACGCCCGAGGACTATGAGTGCGACATGTACGATGACTACCACGCCTACCAGTCTGAGAATGCTCACAACGTCAATGAGGAGACCTATGGCGACTGGCAGGACTATGACCTTGGCGAGGAGATGGACGAAGGCACGTGCTCTTGTGGCTGGCTGATCAAGGCCTTGACCTGGACGACGAAGAGGCGATGGAGTACGCCGCCGATGTCGTCCAGGCAGACCAGGAGGCGTTCTTTGCGAAGGAACGAGCGAGGGACAAAGGCATCAAGGGATTCCAGAACAAGGGCAAGGGCAAGGCATCATCCTCGACGGGACGCGCGTTTGACGTCTCTCCAGGTCAGTTACGGTCAGCTGACGCTTCAGGAATGTCAACAGAAGCTCCAGAACCTCAAGGCCAGGACAACATGTTGACACTGTGGACAAGTTGGCCACTGCTGGAGTGGAGATGCCAGCTGCCCAAAACGAAAAGCGAAGAGCAAGGGATCCAAGGGGTATGGAAAGCCCAGCACCAAGGGCAAGGGAAGCGGAGATCACAAACCCCGCACTGTGTTCTTCGCCGTCCGTGAAGAACAGCCGGATTCAAGTGACAGGACTGCCTTCATGTCATATCGTCGACCCTTCAACATCTTCGGCGCAGTACCTCCTCCACAAGATCTACGACAAGGTGAGATCGTGAGTTCACCTGAGGAGGACAATTGGTCTTTGGTGGCCAGCGCCGTTCAAGAGGGGCAGGAGGTGAACCAAGAGGATTTGGGCATGATGGCGCTGGTCTCTGCCCTTGGTGCCTCAGAGTATCGAGATGGCCAAGGAGAACTGCTGGAGCTGCCGGCATCATCAACCACAGCAGCACCACAACCTTCCGGATCTGAACCTGCCGCGCGGGTCATCATCAACCAGTGTCTCAACGGCCAGTGGCATAGCCACGAGACTTCACCATCGCAGGTGACGCCATGACAGGTACCAACTCTACCCGGATATTGGAAGCCGAAAGAATGCCTGCGCTACAAAGTCACTGCGCAGGGCTCGAATGCCTTTTACAAGGTGAAGAAATGCAAGGATTGTGGACAACTGCTTGAACGTGTTTCTCGTGGAGCAGGTGGCCGTCAGGGATCAGGATGTCCACATCACCGAGTCAGTTGGCATGGCACCAACGGACATCGCTGGAAGCAAACATGTCTACAATGTGGGGAAGTCCACGCTCGGGCTGAGAGAGCTCCGGAAAGGGCTCCACTGGGCAGGCATCCAATGAGACTTCATCAACGTCTCGGACCACGACACCTGGAGTGCAGATGACAGCGGAGGAGATTCTTCGTGTTCGTGGACTCTTCAATCACTCCCTGGATCTCAAGTCCCATCAGCAAGGAAGTGATTTCAGGATGACGGATCACGAGCTCACTGACACCCTCAAGATGTGTGAGAACATCGTCTTGGGATGGCACTGTGGATGGAATGGTCATCAGTCACGTAGATGACCTACTGTGGTGTGGAGGAGAGCTGACGCAACTGCGGACGCTTCAAGCTCACTGGGCGGGTGATCGCCCAGGACAGTGAGGGGATCCACGTGACGTGCCCGCATGGTGTGGAGAGAACACATCCTATTGCTCTCTCAACGGCCAGGAAGGCCAACCGAGGGGCGGAGGCAACGGCAAAGGAGCAGTCCCAGATAGAGGTAAATGATAAGAGATTGGCCATAGATTTGTGCGGGATGCGCCAAATGGTCTGGCGTTGTGTGGGCCAGGAGGTCGGAGACCCACTGTTCAGTGATCGGCCACCACCACCTGAGGCAACAACCAAGGTGTTGTGGATCAGCACGAAGACGATGCTGTCCGATGCATTTACCAAGAGGATGGACGGAACTGCCATCCGAGCGGCCATGGATGGCCTTCCCTTGAAGGTGGAGCTGAAGGTGCCCGGTAGCGATCAGGCCAACAGTACTATGGGTGTGAAAACGGACCAAGATCCATGAACATGCAGCTACCGGACACTTGAGGTTCCAGACGCTGACCAAACATGCCACCTTTTGCGCGTGGCTCAAAAAAAAAAGCTTTTTCGCGTGCTGCCAGTGTTGGGACTCGTTTCCACGCCTCATGCTTGATGCAATAGTTCTGCACAGCCGTACACAGCTGCTTGTGACGGAGAATGTGCTTTCGACTCTTTCATTAGGAGTTTTTTAGCGGCGCTGGAGCAGTCAAAGGGGGGCTCCAAAACTTAAGTCTGTCACAATGGGATTCTACCGGAACAAGCTGCGTGTGAGTCAGGCAGAGTGTGTTTGCAACAAAGACACTTTTATTTCATGTTCTCCCCATTTTCGGACTGCACAAACCTCATCAAAAAGATCATTGATTGTTGCGCGTCACAGCGGTGTAGAAATGCAAGAATGATATTGTTTGTTTGTGTCTTTGAATCCCAACACGAGCATGTTTCTCGACAGGCCAAAGCAGCAACGCGCCTGAACCAGATGCCGATGAGTCGCTTGGTCTGCCAATACCAGAGAAAAATACCCAAAGCACAGCTGATTAAAAGTGAGGTCGACAAAGACTTATATAGAACCATTGGGATTTTAGAAACTGGCGGATTCAGTTGAGATACTTGATGAAAATGATGAAACTTACATTTTAATTTTCACTAAACATCAGCCTTTACACAGTGCGCCAACTCACATGTCCGCTCCACTGAGATCGAGTGATGAGAGCGAAGAATGCGCCATGGAGGCGGCAACAAGCTTTAAAGGTGAATTCCAAAAAGTGAAGTATTTATAAGTTATAAACAAGTAGATTTATCGTTGTCAAAAAGAAATATTTATAAGTATAGGCAAAGCAGAGAGCTGCAAACGAGATCCACAGCGGACCATGTTCACACCGATACATGATGATGATACGCACCAAATTTTAGGTACCATTAGTCATCATTAGCCCACGAATTCGGTTGAAGATGCCTGTAAACTGTTTGCAGGCTGAAAACCAGAAGGAGGAACAGCAGGTTCCTCTGAGATCAGGTGCTTTCGGGCAGATCCAGTGTCGGGATGCGTGCACTTTTGCTCAACAATTTTTCTCCCCTTGTTAAGAATTTGTTTCCAACCCAGAAGTGATGGCCTCCAACCTAAGAGCAATGGCCTCCAACCTGTCAAGAAACTATTTGTTTCCTTTCATTCCTGTGGCTGCTTCGCTTTCTATTTTGATTTTGTGCTGATGCTTTCCAGGCCCTCGTGGACGAAGCGGCTGTGCCATTTTGTCACCCGCAGGGCGCCGTGGGGCGATTGAGGCTTTGAGGGCCATGAGGCTGAAAGAATTGAAGAAGGCTTCGCAGGCCGAACAGAAGGGCGGAGTGGAGTGCAACAGGTAGGAAGAGAAACTGGTAGGAAGTGAAGCGCCCTTCGCATGGCCAAAACGACTCAGAACGACTCAGATATGAGAGTAAAGCGAAGTTAGGTGAGATGGGAGATGAGTCAAGCATAAGAGTCACATGCTAATCGCTGGTAGGTTGGAGGCCAGTCTCTCAGTTGTAGGTATGCTGGAGCTTGTGGTTATCTTGGACGGTTTGCACGGTCGGTGATTGAAAGGGATCTTTGGCAGAACAAGTGCTGTGCTAACCTTTCACTTCGGTGGGAAACGAAGCATCCAGAGGTGAGAGGTCTCCTTTCACTGGCAGGGGCAGAAGCTGGAGATCCAGCTAGGCCAAATCAGATACAGTCAGGCAGGCTGCAGGGCCTTGCAGGGCCTTGAGGGTCGGGTATTTTAGGCACGTAGATTTACATGACATCTACAGTCATTCGTTTTGTTTGACTTATATGAAGCCAATGCAGCTGGAGGGTTTGTTCTCGTCTTAGTCCCTAGTAGCGTCCATGCTCCTAGTAGCGATGCCAGGAGCCCCTAGTAGTTCAATTTGCAGGACTCCATAATGGGGGTCTTCAAAGAAGGACGAAAGTTGAAGGAGACCAGACTTGGTCTTGAATCAGGACTGTTCCCGACTAGGTTGGAGGCCATCGCTGGTAGGAAGAAAGAGAGAAAGAAACAAAGAAGCTACGATTAGTTAAGTTTCCCTAAAATTCTAGGAATGAAATCATTAGTGCGAGCTCTCCTGCAACCAGTAGTTAGTAGCTACTTAAACTACTAGCTACCTCTTCTATTAGCTACCTCCTACCTCCTCCCCAAAAAGAAACATTGATACGGAATTCCCATTTTATCGAGTTCCATGTGCGTGCTACGTGGAGCCAACAAAATGTGCCCTTGGTCACGGGTCATAGAGTATTGCCCTTTGTTCCTAGTAGCTTCTTGTTCCTAGTAGTAAGGCCAGGAGCCCCTAGTAGCGTCCTTGCTCCTAGTAGCGATGCCAGGAGCTCCTAGTAGCGTCCTTGCTCCTATTTTCCTTTCCGTTCTGACTTTTTCAATGCTGTGCTCAAAATGTGCCCAAGAATTGCATCGGGTCAACTGGACACTGACCCGCTAGCTTTTGTGAGCTTTTGCCGCGAGGACAGTTGAGTCTCAACAAGATTCCTGCGATTTCGGTGGTCCTCAGCAACTTGGACGAAGAACCATCCGCAGCGAGAGTGAAGATTCCTTGGCATGGTGACTTTGTTCACAGATATCTTCGCTGCAGGTGATGGTGAGGTCGTAAGCGCGGACAACCGACGCCTCTGGACCTTCAAGCACTGTGGAATGCCCAATAATACACGCTCCTTGGCCTGTACTGGTCCTGCCTTTCTCATCAGGTTCCTTTTGCTACCAGTATCAATATAGTTGGTGCTCCGCACATATTCTACCTTTGGTCAAACAAAAGTAGAGGTATGAATATCGACACAGAGCTGCCCCAGTCTTGAGACTTTGTCGCAGAACTGGCGCACTTTGCATCTAAAAAGCAGTGCAGAACCATCCAGCTTCACACGGTTCACACCGCAAACATCAAAAGTTGGCTGGCAGAAACTAACAAAAACACAACTTCTATGTTCAAGACCATGCTGAAAGAACACACCACAGAACAACTACTCAAAAGTATGAACACCGTGAGATATAGAGTCCATACACCTGTGACTGGGCAGGCATTCCTGTGATCAAGAAGAGGCCGACAGACACGGACGTGATGTTGTGCATGGCGAAAGCCTTTGGGACAAAGTTAGACAAAGCATCGGGGCAAAGCTTAGGTTCGAGGCCATCGCTCTTAGATTGGAGGCCATCGCTAGTAGGTAATTGAAAAGTTGGACAAAGCATTCGTGCAAGAAGTCTTTCTGTCGGATGAATCCGAGTTGCACGCACTTCGGCCAGGCCAGACGACCTTTTCAACAAGAAGCTCACGACTTTCAGTCAAGGGCTGTCCATTGCGCGGAGGAACAACAAAGCTGACTACTGATGGAAAAAAGAGCGGCCGAGACGGAAGAAAGAGCGGCCGAGAAGAGAATGAAGCCTTTACACATTTGCAGCAGATTGAGGGGAAAACGGCTGTAGTTGTGACTCGATATACTTGGAGCTTGGGAAATCCTCCCTGTTCTGGGCACCTGACATCAACTAAAAACACTCAACTCCTCCTATTGCGTGGTTTTGGGGGCTCCAGCAATGATACTGCGAGTTGGGTATTGACACTTGGGTTTTTGTGGCTTAAGTATTGAGTTTGACCTCCGGCTTACTGCTGCGACTGAACTACTTAATGATTTGTAAGTCGGACGTTTCTCTTATAAGCTTCTGCTGACAACGTTTCTAGGACCCATGAAAGGTGAGATGACAACAAAACCGCCTCAATATACCGTGCACGATTTGTTCTGGGCAGAACTATCCGCAATTCATCGTTTTTGACTGTTGTCTTGCTAGGTTGGAGGCCATCGCTGGTAGTTTCCTTGCTACAATTGTGTGTAGCTCGCAGGTTCAGTTTCAAACATCACGTGGCTGCCGTGTGTTTCTCCCTCAGTCCTTCGGTCCGCAGCGGGGATCAAGTGGGGCGTCCGGCCGCGCCCCCCCGGAGCCCATGGCGGATGTTAGATGCGGCCATGGGCCGCTCGGAGTTCGTCACAGGATGTCTTCCTCCGCCCTAGTAGCGTCCGATCGCTCCTAGTAGCGATGCCAGGAGCCCCTAGTAGCTTCTTGTCACTAGTAGTAAGGCCCTTGTTTCTAGTAGCAAAAGGAACCTAACAGGAATGGCCTCCAATCTAGTAGCGATGGCCTCCGACCTAAAACATGTTCAATCTATATAACCAAGCTGTCGACTGTTGCTGTTCTGTATGGTGAGTAGCCCTACAGTCCTGGTGAACCCAATAAAGCCTTGACGATCTCTTCCTTGCACATGCATGTGTGAATAGCAATCACAGCCATGTTCGTCCAAAAGGTGGGTGAATTCCTGTTTGTTTTCTTTGTGTTCTCGCTCCTGTTTGGTTCATCCTAGTCGGATCAAATGTCCTCGTTCGATCCGAATGTCCACAAGCTCTTGGTCACAAGATTGAGGCCCACCAGCTCTCACTTGCAGCGCTCACGCGATGTGCAGGCTTTATGGGACCCAAATCATAGCTGAACAATTGCAGTGGCATGCTGCCAAAACCTTGAGACAAGCTAACACTGGGGTGTTTCTCCATGATTCATGTGATTTAATGTGTGTATGCTAGCATCCAGATGGCCGTTGGACCCCTTGGCTACGTTTGGATCACAATTGACAAATTTGACACGAGATCTGACAAGATGAAACTCCAGCGATTTCGACAGGGAGCAGCTCCAGCGGAGGCAAGTTCCTGCCTGATGCCCAGATGTAGATAATCTTATAAGGAGAGGGTTCCTTTTCGGGCAGAGGACTTGTTGCAAATCAAGGATGAACAGACCAAGAGGTATCCAGAACAACGGCTAAAGTGACGAGTTGTTTGTGAAAGTACTTTATCCAAGTCCGTGATTTGTTGGAGGCCATCGCTTCTAGGTTGGAGGCTCCTGTTTTCTGTTAGGTTCCTTTTGCTACTAGTAACAAGGGCATCGCTACCAGAAACAAGGGCCTTACTACTAGTGACAAGAAGCTACTAGGGGCTCCTGGCATCGCTACTAGGAGCGATCGGACGCTACTAGAGTTTTTTCCTTTCGCTTCATCCGACCTTTGCTGAAGATGTTCTCCAAAGGCCACGTGGTGGGCCGCAGCCCCTTCTGGCCGATCGCCTGGGCGCAGAGGCGAAGAAGCTTTCACAGCCAGTTTTCATGGTCTGTGTTCCCGTGTTCCCGTGCCGTTCATCGTTCTGTCTACCAGAGTCTACCAGAAGCTTTCCTGAAAAACCCGACATTCTTAGGAACAAGTGCACCGCTACTAGTAACAAGGGCCTTACTAGTAGTAACAAGAAGCTACTAGTAACAAGTGCATCGCTTGTAGTAACAAGGGCCTTACTACTAGTAACAAGAAGCTACTAGGAACAAGTGCATCGCTATTAGTAAAGGTTACTTCAGTCCAAGACCCGTGAGCATAGCAGTAAGGGTCGGAAGCCTAATGTTCAGGCGTTCTTCCAAACCGGCTTGCTTTGATCCTGTGGCTTCTCTCCCAAAATCAGCGCATGCAGCCATTTCTGTTTCAAGAATTGAATCTGACAACATCTAGCTTCTAGTAACAAGTGCCTTACTAGTAGTAACAAGAAGCTAGTAGAAACAAGTGCCACGCTACTAGGAACAGGTGCCTTACTAGTAGTAACAATAAGAATTTAATTAGCGTCCTACCACCCCCCCCGCTAGATTCCTTTGCTAGTAGTAACAAGTGCCTTACTAGTAGTAACAAGTGCCACGCTTGTAGATTCCTTTAAAATCAAATTTAATTCTAATAGCTTTTTGTTACTACTAGTAATGTTACTACTAGCGTGGCACCTGTTACAGGTTTTTGTATTTTCTATTTGTCATCGGTGTCTCAGTATGTCGTGGAGTTCATGGTGTGTTTTAGACTTTTGAGACAAAGCCGCGACATCTAGAGAAATCCATAGTGGAAACCAAAAAAAGAAAAGTCTTTGTGTTTGCCTTTTCTTATCTGTTCTTTTCTTTTCCTTCTTTTTGTCTTTCTTTCTTTTTTAGTTTCTGTCCCTCTCCTACTGTTATCTTGTCAAATTCTCTGCACGGAAATGACAGGGATGCCAAATCACCATTCCACCAAACGCCATGCGCAGCAGGCCAGCACGTCCGATCCTTCCGAGGCGGACATGTACGGACTGGGATCTGGGACCAGGGGGGCTCTTCAGGCAATGGATTGGAGGCCATCTCCACTTAGGTTGGAGGCCATTGCTATCATTTAATAGCCCGCTTTGACTTAGCTAAGTAGGCGGCTACTTAGTTAAGTATGGGCTAGGTAACATAGCTGCTAAGTAGGCCGCTACTAGCTACTGGACGCAGGATAGCTCACGATTCCTCAGGCACTATTCATCTTGTTCCTCGATGTTTGGGGAATTTTGACTTGTGCTCACTTTGTTTAGCTGCAGTCACTGCATGTGCAAACATGTGTTGAAATCGAGTTGCTTAAGAGACCAAGGGTAGATAGAATCAGATGGAAGCCCCAAGGTGTGGCATTTGACACGTGGCAGGTGCTGCCCAAAGACAAGCGCGAAGACCTGGTCCGCAAAGGCGCACAGTGCCATATCGGTGACTAGAATAGCTTCTTGTTCCTAGTAGCGATGCACCTGTTACTAGTAGCTTCTTGTTACTACTAGTAAGGCACTTGTTACTAGAACGATGCACTTGTTCCTAGTAGCTTCTTGTTCCTAGTAGCGTTCTTGCTCCTAGTAGTAAGGCCAGGAGCCCCTAGTAGCGTCCTTTGCTCCAAGTAGCAATGCCCTTTGTTACTAGTAGCTTCTTGTTCCTACGTAAGTCTGAAAAATAAGAGATGGAAGATAACTACTCATTGTCTGATGAAGATGAATAGTGTTCACAATCCGACTGTAGTGCAGGGCAAGGTTATGGCAACTGCTCTACCAAACCCCATGTTGCCCACACTTTGACACCGTACTTTCCCGGCAAACTCGGGTAGGCGCTGTTTCGGATCATGCGATGCGGCGCAATGCGGTCAACAGGTGGTGCGGATGCGTTGCGGCCCAGAGAACGCCCGGGAGACCTGGCGGAGTTCCAACATCCCACCGGACCGTGAGTTGTGCTTATGGCGGCAGAAAGCCTTAGGTCCACAGGTGAGAGTCTCATCGCAGTGAAATACTAGCAGCGATGCACTTGTTCCTAGTAGCTTCTTGTTACTACTAGTAAGGCACTTGTTACTAGTAGCGATGCACTTGTTCCTAGTAGCTTCTTGTTACTACTAGTAAGGCC